CTCGCGCCACAGCGTCGTATTACAAGCCTCTCCTTCTAACAGTATATTTTGTCTCTTTTAAATTCATTCAACCCATTCATATGCTTTGTGACCTTTACAAATGAACTTTACGTTACGCGTTTATAGGTAAGGGTGTTCTAAAATTTTTTGTTTTGGAAAATTTAATAACTGTGTAAATATTGATGTATAAAGAATTTAAATGTTTAATACAACTTTAAAAAGTTTTCCCCTATATGTGTGTTCATTTATTGTATATGAATTTGTTATGAAGTTGAGCGCTGCCGCCTTTCTATACGCAACTAACAAACGGGGCAATAGTTAAATAAGTTTATTATGCTTATTTTCACAGTATTATGTATTATGGTTTTACACCTTTTTACAAAAAAAACATACCACATTGCTTGGTGACACCCTGGAAATACCGAGTATTATAGATGTATTAAGTTATATAACATAGTACCTGGAGGACAGAGCTTTGCTCGGTTTGCTTTTTTTGTAAATCGTGTATTTTGTAAATTACATTTATATACAAATTACTGAGTAATGAAATATGCATAATATGCATAATATATATATATGTGTATATGTGTATATATATGTATATATATATATATATATATATATATATATATATATATATATATATTTAGTGAATCAACATTTAACTATTGCTGGAAGGTCTAAGTCTATTGACTACTACAAAAACGTTATGTAGACTATTAATTTGGTGTCCGTGTCGAGCTACGATGAGGTACCTCCGCCTAGTCCTAGATCGCCAATGGGATTTCCGGGCTAACTTCAAACTTCTGCCTCACAAAGTGGCGAAAGCAGCGGCCGCCCTCGGTAGGCTGTTCTTGAACGTTGGCGTCGCCTATACGCTGGAGTCGTGCGATCTATGGCCCTGTACGTAGCTCCCATGTGGGCCAATACCTAACAGCCGGCGCCGCGTGCTATTGCGCAAACCGCAGAGTTTGGTGGCCATCTGGGTCATACGGGGCTACCGCACGATCTCCGGTGAGGCGGCTAGCCTGTGGCCGGCTGACTTGGGATTTAGAAGCCAAGATTCTCGCGTTATTGCACTTTTGGCATGAAGACGCTAAATCCCAGGGCCATTCGCCAACCCCAGAGGAGTTGGGGAAGCACAGGGATCGCCTGCGCACAAATGCCATCGGAGACTGGGTGCTGAGGCTAAAGCACAACAGTGCCGGCCTAAGAACCGTGGAGGTCATACGTTCTGTCCTAAGGAGATGGCTGGACAGACGACACGGCAACCTTACCTATCGTGTGACACAGGTCCTCTCAAGACACGGGTGTTTCGGGAGGTATCTGTTTCGCGTGGCAGGGAAGGAGCCCATAGCGGAATGCCACCACTGTGACGTATACGCCGAGGAAAGTGCTGTCCTCGCATATTGCGAGGATTTTATCACTCGGAAGTAGGCCACGGAAAGAGAAAGGGAGGCAACTGCTACCCTGAAAATCCGCCATAGTCGCGCCGGGGTCGCGGAAGATTGCGTTTACGTGTTCCCGTGTCCCCGGCCGTTGCGGCAGAGCCAGATACAACGTGGGTTTTTAGTGGGTACCCATCTCCGGGACACATACTCCTGCCTCTCCCCCGATCAAGTGGCAGGGGATCCATAAAGGATTTTTCCCACAGAAAATAAAAAGAGGTAAAGGAACAGCCTATACATATCCCACTACTGGGCAAAGGCCTCCTCTATACAGAGGGTATCAGGGCATAGTCCACCACGTGGCCCCACTGCGGATTGGCGGACTTCACATATCTTCGAAATATATTTTTTTTTGTTATTTTTTCGAAAATATGCAGGTTTCCTCACGATGATTTCCTTCACCGCAGAGCACGTAATAAGTCAGCGCACAGCACAGTTAAAAACTTAATTGGTGCCGGCACCGGGGATCGAACTCTGGTTGCTCGAGTATATTGAATTAAAGGCGAGCGCCCGGACACTAAGCTATCACGGTTAAAAGAGGCTTGAATTTTATTCTCGCGTCCGTTATTTTTTGCCATTACTCTCAAGATATTCGTTTCAATTATATGTTGTAACAAGTCTCTAACAAAGTCTCTTAACTTACTTAACATGATAAATACTGTATTTGTGTTAATAGCTTTCCAATTACGGCTTTATAATTTCCAATTTTTTTAAGTCTTATTATGGATATAGTATGTTATTCTTAAGAGATAACATATTCCATAGTAGACTTTTCTGTAAAACTATATAAGATACACAATTCCACCATACATCATTTAGCACCGTGCGTAGAATAACGTTCTGTGGTCACATAGAACGAATTTGATTTTATCGTCGGAGAGTCTTAATTATTCTTATAGATGTTGAGATTCAGAACATCTGATTTGTGCTCGGCGGTAGACGGACATTTAGGACATTTACATGGTACCTAAGTTTAGACACTGTTTTTTGTACTGACTGGACTAAGCTTACTAATGTAATAAATGAGTGGAAAATACTCTATTAGAGTCAATTGATAATTATTGCAGTCACCCACTTGTTATGGTATTTTCGTTGAAAAAAGTTCTACATGTGTTTATGTCATACATATTTTTTTAAATTATATGAACTTGTGACCCATCAGTTATTGCCATTTTCCGTAAGAAAACGTCACTATTGCACATGAAACCTCTTATTTCCTAAATATAATTATTAATTCAAAAAGTATGCGGTATGTGAATATACCTAATTATATCACAACCCTCAAAAATGGTAATAGCAATGCTATGTATAAGAAAACTATAACCAAAATAAAAAAAATAATAATTTGAATCGGCCGTCCTGAATAATTACAATTTTGCAGATGTCACGTTGTTCTACGCAGGGTGCGATTTTGTCATGTTTCAAAGGGTTTTCGTTGAAAGCTCCCACCTTTTTTTTTACCTACTTAGTTTTTAAGTTTATTCGTTACACACAAAAACTACAATTTTTTCCTCTGTATAACATAATTATATTATATATTATATTATGTTATAATAAGTGTAGAGATATGCTCTTTACATCAGATTCATTGTTATGTAATTGTATAAAATTACGACATTTACATTATTAAACTTTTTTGTGACAAAATTCAGGAATTAACAGTTCGCGACTGCCGCTGGTAGTCATATCAGAACCTAATTAAGATATGTTATAATAGTGGATTGATTGGACGAACCGCGCACCGGGATCTCTTGGTATGGAAACGGGCGAGCATTGTAATGGGCCAAGTTCATTCTGATGGGAGAATCGATATTGTACCGATTAGTAAGCCCTAACCTAAGCTAAGTTGCGCGCGAAAGCGGATAGAGGTGCCCATACAGAAGCCACTGCGCCGCGTCGCGGCTTGCGTAACGTCAGCCGGTCAGCGACCTTCCGACGAGCCCCCCCCCCCCCTCCACTCCCGCTCCCCACAGCCCCTCCTTCGCGTTTGCGCACGCGCACGGCGTTCCGGATGAGATTCGCGAATTACTTCCGAGAGAATCATAGACCAGTGCGCAACGGAAACCATTGGTACCTTAAGAACCTATATATATAATTTGACGATTCATGGGAACGTGCAAGCGTCTGTTTGAATAAAGATATTTGATTGATTATTGATATTTGTTAACGTTAGAACATTCAAACTTTACTAGCACACTCATAACGCCCCAATATCTTTTTATCATACCAGTGCAATAATGCTTATTGAATTACTGTAGCTAAGACAAATATCTGACTTTTAAACTTTTATAACAAGATTTAACATATTGGCCATAAAATTGTTCATCTCCGCTTCGTATGCTCTGTACACGCATCACCGTCGAAGCCTAACTACTATTGAAATAGGTAGGTACATGATGTTTTACCGGCACATACATACATCCGCGCACGCCTGACTTTTTTTCATTTGTTTTCTATTTAAAAGTTTAGCAAGAAATTATGGATTTGGAACAGGTCTTGGGACCATATGTGAAAGAGCGCAGCTATTGAATCGATTTTGCGTGCAAACGGCAGGACACATCTGGCAACGCAAACTAGTAGCGCAACTAGCTTGAACATCAGTCTAAGCATTTGAAGCGATTGTGATGAACGCGATCGCTTCCGTTCCGGGCTGATATGTTTTTTTTAATCTTAAGAGAATGTAATGAAAAAAGAGTATGGTTTGGCTCTGGCTGTTTGCATTGATTACGTTTCATGCTAACATTTTTCACCTCTCCTAACTTAACTTTCTTTTTATTTATTTTTATATGATACTAGATGTTAACCGCGGCTTCAACAGCATGTTAAACGGGAGTTAACAATAAATTTTATATTATACACATGAATATTTCGCAAATGACAAATTTTTTTCCTAAATACTTAAAACTGATCATCAGACAATATATTTATAAATAAAAGCCTAAGTGTTATTCTGCTATATGTATTACCTATATTATTTTAATTTTTCATTAAAATACTTAATGTAGATGTTGCGTGAAATAATAATATCCATACATCCATACATTCAAACATTCGCGTTTATAATATTAGTAACGATAAGGATATCTTTTTTATTATAATGCATAATTTTAATGATAAAAAATTAAATATATTTTAGTTGTATCAAATGCCAAGTCATGTCCGGTTCTTATGAAACTCAAAAATATTCCAATTATAACTAGTATGTGCACGTGTCGACATTTGTGATTTCACGAAATTTATACAATAATCTTTGAAGAACCCTCAGGTGGCTAACGCGTGGAAAACAGATCACTGACAAATATTGAACGACAGTTAAAGTGTAACTAACTTTCAAATATTCCTTGATTGATGTTTGATATTTTAAATTCAGTACATCCGAATCAACAGAAAGAAGAAGAAGTAAGAATTTAATATAAAAAGTAAGGAACGGTGGTAAGAGCGTTCCATAAAAGCTTTAACGACACGAGAGCGCGTTGAAATCGTTAGCGAACGGCGACGCGACTCCGCGCGCTTCGAAGCTTCTGTAATGTTGCATGGGAGCAATCGGAGTCAGCGGGCACCTTGTTCCTTGTTGCCGTAGAAGGCAGGGATGCAGCGATGCAGCGATGCAAGTGAGAGGGGTGTCGCCGTCCGTGTGTGTTTGTTGTCGTTGGCCGTAGAGACGTGTGAGGAGCGTGCTCTGTGTGGGTGGGGTGGGGGTTGTGTTGGTGACGCACCTTGGGCGCGGTGCGGACGCGCGCCGGCGGCAGGGAAGAAGGCGACCGCGAAGTCGGCGGTGGGCGGCGCGGGGCTCAGTTGGGGCGGTGCGCGCACGCACGCAGCGGGCGGCCCGCTCCAGACGTCCATGGTGACGGTGCAGGCATCGCTCGCGGTCGCGACCTCCGTCCGTGGCCGCGCCTCGCCGCGCACTGAGCACTCGCCGCCGACACCGAGCGCCCGCGCAGCCGACGCCACCCGCCGCTGCCCTGCCGTGCCCTGCCCTGCCCTGCCTGCCGCCGCGCGCCGCTCACTCCTACCGCCAAACTTCCAAACGAGCTTTCTTTCAACGACCGCTCCTTTTGGCCGCCCGATCGCTGCACCGCAATGTTGGTCTCCCTGTCTGATGGCTCATTCAACTTCGGCTCGCTTCTCCATGGTTTAAAAAGTTCCGGCCGTTTTAACCTTTTAAACTGACACATAAACATTTCACAAGTACTCTTGAAGAATTGTTGAAAAAATCATTTTGTCGAGTTTAAAGAACGAAATCATATAACTCTAATGTATGTATAACATAATGTGTCCCGTACTTATAAGATCCATACATCGGAAAAATGTAAATAGATACAATATAAACAACATAGTATGTTTTAGAAATCCTTTACCGCGGGACCCAATTCAATTGTTCCAGCCCAATTTGTACAGCAGCAACTTTGGCCTGCACTCTATCCTACCTCGCTTTCAAGAAAAGACAATTTAAACGCTTTTATAAAAACGTTTTAACAAAAAAAAACTGACTTCCAAAAAACTCTATCAGCACTTAAAAGTTCAAAATAATGCTAAATCTAATATAGTCAAATTTAAAAATATCTAACCAATTTTTAACCTAACCTACCTAACATCTACCAAAATTTATCAATTATTTATTGGAGTCGGTGCCTTCCCATTCTTTAAGATTATCACACAATTTAGGTGGATTAGATACATAATTAAATACATAATATAACTATCTGTTAACTTATTTATTAGATAACAGCAGTTTTTATTGTTGCTTAGCTTCTTTCTGTTTTTTTAATAAGGTGTTATTGTGGTATAAAATAATCATTACCATTATGGTCAACAGTGGCATCGACTCCAAAAATTCATAAATTTTGTTAAATGTTAGAGGTAGGTTAGGCAAAATTGTTTAGATTGTTAAAGATTTGATCATATTTGATACCTGTTTATAGACTAACTGTAATTGAGATTACGTATATCTCGTTGGTATAAAATTTGTTGTTTATCCAAAATTAACATGAATAAATATATAATATAATAGTATGAAAAAATATATGAGCAAATAAACATGTGGGGTTTACTGAAAGTGTCTAGTACTGGCCACTTATGATAAAAAATTAGTTAGAGAATTTGAAATTCTGTGTGAAACTGTCATTAAAATAATGATTTTAATGACAGTTTATTATAAAAATAAATTTATACAGTATATTAATAAAAATAAATTTCATTAAAGCACTCTTTAGAATATGTTTTCAGTTAAAAGTTAGAAAGCGAGTAGGTGGTAGGTGGATTTTGAGTGATTATCACCGCCTATGGACACTACCTACAACACCTGGTGGGTTGTTGTTGATGCGTTGGCGACATTACAAAACTGGGCCCCGGCTACCTCACTTATCACTCCACGCCGGTCTGTCGTCTATGAGGCCGCGCTACTTTCCTGGACCAGTGTACCCGACGTGACGGACGCGGCTGCCATGAATAAGTAACAGCCGCAGCTGCTGCGTGGCCCTGGCCCCTACCACATTGAAGATCTGCATCTTAAAGTTCCGAAAATTCGCGCCCTATGAATAACGCATGATTTAACGGTAGACGAGAAACGACTGCGTGTCGAGTGATGACGTAAAATCATAAAAGAGTTTAATGGTCGACAGTCATTGGCATAATAACTATTATGATTTATAACAGATTCAGGTTTTTTTGCCTTGAATCGACACGAAAAAGCCATATTAGTTATTTGGTTAAGAAAGATTAAAATAAACAGAAAAAACAAAAGCAAGAAAATGGTTTTTGCTATTTCCGACATATCTTTAAGTATCAGCCTATACATGTCCCACTGCTTGGCAAAGGCCTCTCTCGCGTGGACTATGCCCTGATACCCTCTGTACAGAGGGTATCAGGGCATAGTCCTCCACGTGGCCCCACTGCGGATTGGTGAACTTCACATATCTTCAAAATATTTTTGTTTATTATTATTTCGAAAATATGCAGGTTTCCTCACGATGTTTTTCTTTACCGCTGAGCACATGATAATTCAGTACTTGAAAATAACAATTTCATTGGTGCCGGCACCGGGGATCGAACTCAGGTAGCTCAAGTATATTGAATTAAAGGCGAGCGCCCGGACACTGAGATATCACGGATCTATATAGATAGATAATTAGGTATAGACCTAATTATATATATATATATATATATATACAGCGTGTCGTTACCATCGCGACAATAAATAAACACATATATAGGGGATAACTTTCTAAAGTTGTATTAAACATTTAAATTCCTTAAACATCAATATTTACAGAGTTATGAAATTTTTCAAAACAAAGTATTTTAGAGCAGCTTTACCTATAAAAGCGTGACGTAAAGTTCATTTGTAAAGGTCACAAAGCATATGAATGGGTTGAATGAATTTAAACGAGACAAAACATACTGTTAGAAGGAGAGCCTTGTAATACGACGCTGTGGCGCGAGTTGTATAGGATGTTACAAATTTTGTTTATTTTTTACTTAATTAGTTTGTTTGAAATTTTTTTTTTAATTATGGATTTTGTTTAACATTAATATTTTTTTATGATTATTGGCAAGTAGCGTTAGACGTGTGCTCATTTATTGTCGTGATGGTAACGACACGCTGTATATATATATATACATATATATATAAAATTCTTTTATGCGTGTCGGTATGTCACTGAACTGCGATTATATAATATAATTTCTTACTCGAGCAAGACAATGTCATTGCGCTTATTTCGTTCTAGACTCCAGCAAGCTGAAAATATTTCTAAGGCAGTTGACGTAGGTGTGCCTATTTAATTCGTTAAAAAATTCGGTATAACATCATTGAAACTCGTTGCTTTGGTGTAGTTGTACAATTGTCTGTGTAAGGCGGCGGTCCCCACGTCATACCAATCGTTTTGGTACGGTTACGTGAATACTTTTTGGACACTTTAGGCATTAACATATAAAACAATTCACGAAATGCTCGACGACGCACGGTCTGTGGCGGCTCCCCGGTGGCCCATTTGAATTGTTTATTAACCTTGTATTTTTATGAACTTCAGCTTCTTTTGATATTCTTACAAAATTTTATTTCGAAATACACCTTTAACTGAAATTCAAAGGTCATTTGGTGGTGAGATGTATGAATTGAGCATTGTTATTATGTTTCATAAACGATAAAGGCACAGATTATATCCGCAAACTCGCCCATTGAGTGAACGGTGTTCTTTCCAGATATAAAGCAGATGAAACCAGTTTCACTACCGAATGAAAAACAATAGGCGACAAATGCAGGTGCTAGACGACACCGCGGCTGGCTTAATCATGCTGGGTGGTCGCAATCAGGTTTGAAAGTCTGGCCATCGTCACAGAATGTAGGCCCCTGCCTAGCAGTTGAGCGATAATTATTAATGTTATAATTATTGTCGATTACGTCCGTATTAGTGATCCTTTAAAAGTAATAATCGACTGTAAATCTACAGAAAAAAATTCCAATTGACCACTATTATTTGGCGTCCATAGAACGTTGCGTGATTTAAATTGAAACTGACAGAGGAGTGGTTCACTCGACTCTATTGAAGAAGGGCCAAGAAGCCGGCTCA